CAAAGCAAGGTCCATAAAGACATGGATGAGCAAGTTTGGGGTGGAGGAACTTGACTGGCCTGCACAGTCAACTTGATAGAACACCTTTGGGATGAATTAGAGCGGAGACTATGAGCCAGGCCTTCTCATCCGACATCAGTGCCTGACCTCACAAATGCCCTTCTGGAAGAATGGTCAAACATTCCCATAGACACACTCCTAAAACTTGTGGGAAGCCTTCCCAGAAGAGTTGAAGCTGCTATAGCTGCAAAGGGTGGGCCAACTCAATATTGAACCCTACAGGCTGGGTTGCCATTAAGTTCAAGTGTGCATATAAGCAGGTGTCCCAATACTTTTGTCAATATAGTGTGTGTGTATGTATATACAGTCATGGCCGAAATTGTTGGCACCCTTGATATTTCTCCAGGAAATCATGTATTTCTCACGAAACGTATTGCATTAACACATGTTTTGCTAATACACATGTTTATTCCCTTTGTGTGTATTGGGACAAAACAAAAAAAGGGAGGAAAGAAAGCAAATTCGAACATAATGTCACACAAACCTCCAAAAATGGGCTGGACAAAAGTATTGGCACCCTTTCACAACTGCGGATAAATAAGATTGTTACAAGCATGTGATGCTCCTGTAAACTCACCTGGGGCAAGTAACAGGTGTGGGCAATATAGAAATCACACCTGAAAGCAGATAAAAAGGAGAGACGTTCACTTAACCTTTGCATTGTGTGTCTGTCTGTGCCACACTAAGCATGGACAACAGAAAGAGGAGACGAGAACTGTCTGAGGACCTGAGAACCAAAATTGTGGCAAAATATCAACAATCTCAAGGTTACAAGTCCATCTCCAGAGAACTAGATTTGCCTTTGTCCACAGTGCGCAACATTATCAAGAAGTTTGCAACCCATGGCACTGTAGCTAAATCTCCCTGGTCGTGGACGGATGAGGAAAATTGATGAAAGATTGCAACGCAGAATAGTCCGGATGGTGGATAAGCAGCCCCAAACATGTTCCAAAAGACATTCAAGCTGTCCTGGCAGGCTCAGGGAGCATCAGTGTCAGCGCGAACTATCCGTCGACATTTAAATGAAATGAAACGCTATGGCAGGAGACCCAGGAGGACCCCACTGCTGACACAGAGACATAAAAAAGCAAGACTACAGTTTGCCAAAATGTACTTGAGTAAGCCAAAAGCCTTTGGGAAAACGTCTTGTGGACAGATGAGACCAAGATAGAGCTTTTCGGTAAAGCACATCATTCTACTGTTTACCGAAAACGGAATGAGGCCTACAAAGAACAAAACACAGTACCTACGGTAAAATATGGTGGAGGTTCAATGATGATGTTTTGGGGTTGTTTTGCTGCCTCTGGCACTGGGTGCCTTGACTGTGTGCAAGGCATCATGAAATCTGAGGATTACCAAAGGATTTTGGGTCGCATGTAGGGCCCCAGTGTCAGAAAGCTGGGTTTGCGTCCAAGATCCTGGGTCTTCCAGTAGGACAATGACCCCAAACATACGTCAAAAAGCACTCAGAAATGGATGGCAAAGAAGCGCTGGAGAGTTCTGAAGTGGCCAGCAATGAGCCCAGATCTAAATCCCATTGAACACCTGTGGAGAGATCTTAAAATTGCTGTTGGGAAAAGGGTGTCCTTCCAATAAGAGAGACCTGGAGCTGTTTGCAAAGGAAGAGTGGTCCAAAATTCCGGGTGAGAGGTGTCAGAAGCTTATTGATGGTTATAGGGAAGCGACTGATTTCAGTTATGTTTTCCAAAGGGTGTGCAACCAAATATTAAGTTAAGGGTGCCAATACTTTTGTCCAGCCCCATTTTTGGGGTTTGTGTGTGACATTATGTCATATTTGCTTTTCTGCCTCTGTTTTATATTTGTTCCAATACATACAAAGGGAATAAACATGTGTATAGCAAAACATGTGTTAATGCAATACCTTTTTTGTGTGAAATACTTGATTTTCAGGAAAAATATCAAGGGTGCCAACAATTTCGGCCATGACTGTATTATATATATATATATATATATATAAGCAGTATATTGTATCTAGGGCAGAAGGGACCGGAAAAAGTGGTTTTCTTATAGGCAAATGATGCCCATCTGCAATTATTTGATATGCGGTAAAGCCCCTTAACCCATTTATTTAGGGAGTTCAAGTCTTGGACATTAGGCAATAAGATAATCAAAGCCATAGTGATATTTTAGGTTAACGGTAAGTGGTGCTGGGCCTCTGACCGAAAAGAAGAAATGCGCACATCATTTCCTTTCATGAAGGAGCTACTGACAGATAACGTGGTGGGTCATGGTCCTGGCAGTGTTTCCACAGCTCTGAAGGTATAATAGTATAAAGGGATTAGAATTCTGTATAACAGGTGTGGAGGGGTGGGTCTAGGAGGATATATACAGAGGGGGGAGAAAGAGGAGGGTAAAGAGGAGGGTAAAGAAAATAAGATGGGAGAAGAGAGAGGGGAGATAGTAGGAGGGGATGTAGAGGGAAAACAGGAGGTGAGAGGGGTACAGTATATAGAGGAGTGCTTAGGGGTCCATACTTCTTAAAGTTATTTCTTGGACATTCAATAAAGTGTGGTAACAGGTTGCATGCAGGTAGTGGGTGATCCAGGGGTAGTTTGACGCATTAAATGCAATTATTCTTTCATATAGCATGTATTGGTGCATATATGATTTAAACTCCTTTATAGAAATACTGGTTGTTTTTCAGGCTTTGGCAATTGTATGTTTGGCATCGTGGGTGAGCAGGCAGGTTTCGCGTTTAGTGCAAATGGATGGCTGTTTGTTTAAAAGAGCCCCCCTGGGGCTTATCTCAGGGTAAAACCTAACAAAGTGTAGATGATGCAATATATTGAACATCAGAACTATTTGTTTACAGGACAGGCCTCCCAAATTTGAGTGTAGAGCCATTTTTGGGACAGCCACTAAAACAGTATAGAGAGTAACCTGATAGTGAATTGGTTATTTGGGTTGGTACAAGGTACCAGGGCACAATTAATTTATATACTTTTTCAGAAGCATTAACTTTTAGCAATCATTTGGAGGTAAACAACCATATATCTGCCCAGTGCTCAGATGTCAAGGCTTGACCCAAGTCATTCTCCCACTTCTGGATGTAGGCTGGAGGAAAGTAAAGAAAGCAAAGATGATAGAAAAATAAAGCAATATAATTAGGACCAAGGAGTGTGGGCCAATGCTGTGAAAAATCTCAAAGGGCAGTACAAATGCAGACTCTATGTTTCTATTATTAAAGATACAGTGTAGAGGATAGAGAGTGTTTTATGTGATTTGCTCAGAGTTACAAACGATCTAATTCTCAGTGAAATTCTCAGTGAAAATGTCATAAATTCAAAAAATTTTACAAAAAATAACAGAGTACCACCACTGGAAAGAATCTGGGGAATCAAAGTTTGAATTGAAAGTAGAATTACCACTAAGAGTCAAAAAGGTAAATAGGGGAGGGATAGTGATTTACAAGAGGATTTATTATTGTCCTAAAATGTTCAGGAAGACTCCTGACGTATGATCTGGCTTTCATCTAAGTGATGGGGATAATCAATAAATACAGTCTTTTACAAACAACAATGCAACTTTTTATTGCCATAAATATATAAAACAAATCCATAAATTGAAAAAGTATGGCTTCTTTACAATTCTGACAATACAAAGAATAAATGGAGTCAATGAGTTAGGTATTCCAAATTATTATAGTCAGAGTTTGAGTTATCCTGCCATATGAAAAAAAAAACTACTTTGATTACCTGTTCTTATCTAAAATATTTTGATGGAGCATGCTAGGACCTTACAAAAAAAAGTTCAGAGAACTAAAAAAAACAGTTTCATAAAGATTTCTAAAGATGACCCTTCATCAGTTCACAGTCAGTCAGGCAGTTTAAATGGAAGAAATTCAACACTTGCCTGTTTCCTTGGAATATTATGCCCTACATTGATCAGAGCCTGACACAAAGAAAAAAGCCTGCGAATATCACATCTCTAAAAAAGAATCTGCTGCCCATCTAAAGCTGACTAAAACTTGCACACTGCATATACACTTCAAAGCCCTAATCACAAAACGACATAAGGAGAATAAAGCTTGGTATACACTAGCAGAAAACTGTAGGAACATCCATTCAACATTTCCCAAAAGTTCCTTGCTTGCTAAAACAAGAGCACTAAATCAACAAAACAGATAGCATAAAGCCCAGGTGTAGCCTTAATTACAAACATTAAAATCTGCATAGGGGCCATAACATACATTTATCATGATGTGTCCCTTGTGCTGATTCTTCTTAGTTTAGGTGAAATTTTCATCTTTCCTATCCACACCCCAAGCTGACATGAAAAAGCAAAACCACACCTCTATCAAGATGGCCGCCCCCACACAGAGACACAGTACAAAAAAAGGTTGGTAAGACACTTCTGGAGAAAAATGTATCAGGAGGTAGAACACAGGCAAAGCTGGTGACTATTCCTTTGCCATCAGCCTGCTTTTTGCACACAGCTTACATCCCTTTTAAAGAATATTCTATTATATTCTATATTCTAAAGGAGAGCACTATCAACATGTAATGATAATTTATGTAAGTTCATACTTCAAAGACTTTTTAGGAGCTTTCAGGATACGTATAAGGGGTAGATCTGTTTTTTTTAAGCCTAAAAGTATCCATGTGTTTACAGTTATAGGTTCCAGTATAGTGAAAGAAGCCATGTAAATTGCATAAACTGATTTTCATCAAATCACACATTAATGAGATGAACTGAAAATAAAATAAAATCATCATGTGGTTACATATGTTCAGTATCATACACATTCCAACCAAATGAACAAGCGTCTTTGTTAAATCATTTATCTATATATCTGCAATCCATACAAAACAGTATTATGCAAAATACAAGCAAGGATAGGGTGGACATGCATCCCACCAGCATTCCATCCATCTCCCAAGCATCATTCCCATTAGAATCCATGCAGTTCCTATACTTACTTGACCCGTGATGGAGAGACCATAGCCATGTCCCTTTTGATGAATTTTAGGTGGAGTGCAGCAGCTGGGACAGTTACAGAAACATGAGTCAGAATATCGCTTACATGGAAACCTAGTGAAGAGTGACGAGAAAAGGAAGCTAATACAAGAAGGAAAGGGTCAAACTCAGCATCTAATTTTTATCACATACATTGAACCTTTATAATGTAAATTGCTGGTGCCAAACTGCTTTTCCATCCATATAAGCCAAATGCAGTAAAACAGTTAAAGGAGCAATATACTAAATACAAAGTGCAGTATCAAAAGCAACTAATCAAATCTTGTACTGGCCAAAAACGTGTCCTGTATTGTTTAGACTTGAGTGAAAAAAAACTCTTGCCAGCTGCTCTATGTTACTGCACTTCACAGTTAGCGTTCTATACTGCACCCAATAATATTAAAGAAAATGTTTACTGAGTAAAACACAGAACCTGCCATTGCTGACTTCCAATTCCTCAAATGTTTATTGCCTGGCTGTTACAGTGACAGCCCTCTGGATTCAACATTCATTGAGTCACTAGGACAAACAGGTACAGTAGGTTAGGATTCCTGATTTTATTTTGGCTTTTCAGATATGTATAATCGTTGCAGTCAAGCAACTAACATTTTCAAACAAAGGTCAGCAATAGAAACCCTCATATACAGTATATTTTAGGAAAATATTATTTTATTTGGTTACAGCTACTGAATCAGATAAATTAAAGCTACACAGCCTATTTTTCAGGAAGTCAAATAGATTTGACTAAGGACCCAATAACATTTATGCAGATTTAATTCATGGTGAAATGTGTTGCACTGCGCTATATTTAATTTTGAATTGCAACTGTTATGGTACCAGGCAACATACCAGCACTGCAGCACACAAAAAAGAACATGCCGAACATTGCAGCACAGTCTGTTATAAAAAAAATGGGTCAAGTCTGATTTTCAGGATACTGCCATGTGTTGTCAGTCTATTCATAAAGACTGGCCTGCCCTAAACAATGCACATTTATGCAGAAAGAAATATGTGGTAATGAGTGTGGAAAGCTGAATGGGCCCTTAACATAGACGTGAAGCAACACTTTTTTATTTTGGATAGAATAAAAGAGGCTTATAACCTCTGTCAGGTTTTTTTGCCAGCTCTGTCCCATTCGGGAAATTTCCCTTCTCTCTTTGTCCCATAGCCAAAACAGGTAATGAGAGGAAATATCTCTAAAGTGAGGAAAATCCCTGATAGCCACCAGTGTCAACACAACTAGTGTTCCAATTGGAAGATTTACCCTCTATTCCTATTCTGGTGGCCACACAAAATTTGGGATTTTCTTTCGCTTTCAGTGATAAATATCACCACGACAAAATGTGAATCTTCCTTCCAGGGATACAGGAATCAATAAAATCCTGACAGGTGTACTAATTCCTCTCCTTTCTATCTAAGCCTAAAAAAAAGTTTTGCCTTAAGCTGTACACATACTGTATAGCGAACACAGATACTGTATAGCACATTTTGAAATCTGTATCTGAAAATTGTAATATAAACAGAACAAAAAGAGATCAAAATGAAACCCAAAAAGAAAAAGAAGGACATGCACATGATATTTCCATTTTAGGCGGTTTCTTAAAGAACAACTGTCAGTTAAATTAGGTGCATTATAATGCCAACTTTGTTAAAAGTCCTGTCTCAATCCATTGATTACAATCTTTTTTGTAGTACAAGACTATAGCATATCATTTTATGCTAACCAGTTCTTAAACTCCCTGTACGCTTTTCTAAGCCTTTAACAATTGCCCCGGTATTTCTAATATACCTTGAATTGCATAAAATTCATTTAATCAGGTCAAAGTTACAGAATGAATAAGATTTTATGAGTGAGACTGCTGAATTACAGTTCACAAGATGACAGAACTAGCACAGCTCTGACATGTTTCAGTATTAATAGTAAAGGTAAAAAAATACATAGTAAAAATGCTTAAATTAGAATAACATCCAACTCCAATAAAAAAGAAAGAAAAAATATGTTTAGGGTATAAAAGTCAACGTCCAGTCAGCAAAGGGTCTAAGGGAGATATGTATTTTGAATGCGTTTTAATATTAACATATCTATTTTCTTATTATTCCTTTCCACTTTAGAAGGCAGCAAAATCAGTTTGGGCTTTAGGAACTAAACATTAGCCACAAGGGTTGAGAACGAGCTGTGCCTTCATTCTTCTAGGGAAATATGACAGTCTGCCAATGACACATGACAATTATTCACTTCTTGGAGCTTCTGAATTAAGAGACATTAATATCACAACCACAGATAAGAGAGCTGAATGCCAATGCTTATTAAGTGTCCTTTTATCTTTGCAAATGCTTAAAGAATAACTCAATTCAAAAGTTTTGAAAAGAGGGGCTGGATAAATAACATTTTAAAATTAAACTCATGGGCATTTTATTATGAAAGTCAGCTACTAATTTCCTGTCCTAAAGTCCTGTAGAAAGTACATTTGCACTGGGTTTCTCTGAGTGTGGAGACATTGAGAAACTGTGCACAAATAATAATCAAAAATTCCAACATTTCCACGGTAAGAACAATGCTGAAATGCAACCCTGAGTTCTTGAGTCCTGGGAATTAGCACTAGGAATGGATGGAACATAAGGAATTCGTTACCCAGACATTTCCTATTCCTGATATACAGTATGTATGTTGTACCACGTACTTGTTGTCTTTGTATTGCTTCCTGTGTGTGAAAAACCTGGTGTTCCTGCCAGTCCCCCTGCTTTCCTATATCAAACTAACCACATTAGGCATGGGAGCACATCTGTTTTGCCTTTCATTTCTATTTTAACCGAAATGGGTTGTTTTACAAGGTAAGAGTTCACATATACGTTAATTTACATTGGAACATATGTTAAAGGGGTTTCACAAGGGCACCAAGAATAATTAAAGAGTATTAAAAGGCAAATGATGTTTAGGTAGGGAAGAAATAGGGAAGAGTTAGCCCTTCTGCCAAGTTCTTATCGACATCTGTGTCCACGCTGAAGGTGATTGACCTTCTATTTGTCCTGATGACCACTGTTGCTGAGTCAAAAAATTAAGGGAAATTTTAAATTTTAGACTTGCATGAGAGCAAGAAGTGAAGATACATATAAATTGACAGAGTATTAAACCTCCCCCACTCCATCCAAAACTAAAGTAAAAAGTTTTGGCTATACATACACTTTAACCATTTGACCTGTGGAAGATTCACCCCCCTTCCTGATCAGGCCATTTTTTTTGCTATACAGCACTGCATAAATTAAATTTATGTAATTTTTATTTCCCACATATAGAGCTTTCTTTTGGTCGTATTTGATCACCTTTGGGTTTGCACAATAAACAATAAAATATTGACAATTTTGGAAAAAAAAAAAAAACAATATTTTTTACTTTCTGCTATAAAACATATCCAATAAAAAATTTATCAAATCAAATTTCTTCATTAATTTAGGGCAATATGTATTCTGCTTGATATTTTTGGTAAAAAAAAATACCAATACACATATATTGATAGGTTTGCGCAAAAGTTATAGCATCTACAATCTATGGTATATACTGTATACTGAAATTTGTATCTTTTTTTTTTTTTATACTAGTAATGATGGTGATCAGCGACTTATAGCGGGACTGCGATATTGTGGCAGACAATCCGACTGACACTAACTGACACGTTGTGGGAACCAGTGACATTAAAACAGTGATCAGTGCTAAAAATATACACTGTCACTGTACTACTGATACTGACTGGGAAGGGATTAAACATCTAGAGCGATCAAAGGGTTAACTGTGTACCTAACCAGTGTTTATATGTGTACTATATGGTGTTTTTATTAAGGGATGTGCTGGATTTTATTCCCTGCTTTTCAGGGAAACAAAATCTAGCACATTGCCACTGACAGGAAACTGCTCTGCTTTGTTTACATAGGCAGAGCTGTGTTCTGTCTTTCTTCTCACTGATCAGCGGGCGACTAATCACAGCAGAAGTGGCATGCCGGGGGAGCGCGCACCCTGACAGGAAGTGCAGAATCATGTATATACGTGATTCTGCACACAACTGTGTACCTAACCAGTGTTTATATGTGTACTATATGGTGTTTTTATTAAGGGATGTGCTGGATTTTATTCCCTGCTTTTCAGTGAAACAAAATCTAGCACATCGCCACTGACAGGAAACTGCTCTGCTTTGTTTACATAGGCAGAGCTGTGTTCTGTCTTTCTTCTCGCTGATCAGCGGGCGACTAATCACAGAAGAAGCGGCACGCCGGGGGAGCGCGCACCCTGACAGGAAGTGCAGAATCATGTATATACGTGATTCTGCACACAACGGCCATCCTGTAGCAGTAAAGCTGATATAATGTGGTCAAGTTAATAAGGATACTTCTGGGAACTTCATGATGCCTGAACTTCAGAAACAGTGTTACATTAGAAATGTTATAGACCAAGTCAGGGCAACAAAAATGTCCAAGTTCAAAGTTTCTAATGATAACATTTATTCAAATTGATTTCTGGTATGAATCAATTTTATCATTAAAAACCTTGGACTCTTGGATGTTTCTTTGATGCTCTCATTGGATTGCATGTATGTAGATTCTCAACTCTGGGTCACTTCCCTGTTGTTGAGATGACTCTCTGTTTTGTGGAGTGCAACCAAACCAGAGCCAGTTTGTCCATGACAGATGCAGTGACCTTTAGAAAGTCTGAATCCAGCTTGTGTTTTATCTTTCTTTAGTGTCTTTTCTATTGTTGTGAAAATCAGTGATCGTTAAAATATATAAGGCAATACTACAATAATATATGTTTAAATAAAACAGCTGCAACTCGATTTGAAAGGCATGTATATGCTGTTTTATTTATAAGTGTTTTCAAAAGATGTTACTGATTCATACATGAGAACATAAGCACAGTCTGAAAGCCAACTACAGACCTTCAGAGCTTTTTTTGTTGTCACCATCCCATCTGAATATTGTCATATTAGAAAGTTTTAGTGGAGATTTGTACCTGCAATACAAGACTCTTCAAGTATAT